TCTAAATAGATATTCATTTCTCTTGGACAATAAAGTTAATTCATTTATCAATTTATATTTACTCGCATCATCATAAGTCACAATTGGTATTCTAATAAGTAATTCTTCAATAACAACTTTTCCAACTCCAGGCACCACATCTGTTTTATCATTCTTATCTCTAAATAAAGCGTCATTGTCACTACGTCTTAAAAAATTTATTTCAAAACCACCTTTATATACTGGGTATTCTATATCTTTAAAAAATCCTAAACACAAATTAGATAATTTACCAACAGCACTAAAATAACCACCACCACTACATTTTGACTGAAACCCACTATTTATTGTTGGCCCACTAAGATCTGCAGAATAACTAATTGTACCTTTAATTAAACTACATCTACCAACATTATCAATTCTATCTAATTCTTTACCATGTTTTTTAATACAAATTGACTCAAACAAAAATGCAGGAAAATTATCAACTAATATTACATTTGATCCTTTAGGATAACTAGTACCATCAGTTTGTAAAACTTGGCCAGAAATTTGAAACTTTGCTTTTTTAACATTTAAGAAACTATTTTCTTCATTTATGTTAAAAGCAGTAATTTTGTTAGGAGCATTAAGACTTGATGTTGATATAGGGTAAAATACTTTATCCTGTTCGCGGATAATAGCATAGTCATAATTAGCAAATATATTTTTCATTTATAAGGAAAAAAATTTAATAAAGTTTTATAATTTAAAATTCTTAATAAAATCTAAACATAAATGACCACATATAGGTGGATCAGTATAAGTTTGTAATTGATCAGTGGTGTAATATAAATCATCTTTTCCTAAATAATTTACAATTTCTTTAATTGGAGGAGAAAACCCATAAGAGTCAAAATATACTTTTATATTATCATTTTTTAACCATGCAACCCAATGTGAACCAGGTTGACTAGAATTATTTAAATTTAATATTCCACATTCATTTTTCCAAGGTTTTGTTGGTAACTCATCTTTCATAAAACAACCTCTAAAATTCTTAATATTTTTTCCTGCTTTAATAATATCAAAATTAGTTAATGGTTTTATTGCTTGCTTTTTGCAAGCAGGTCTTGCGAATATTTCTTTTTTTTGTTCTTTATTTTGTTTTTTTTTAGACCTGAACCAATCTGTAAAGTCTTAATTTTTCTAACATTTTCTTCCATCACTCTATCATGTCTTTCTGTCTCATCTCGTTTTAATTTCTTATCTTTTGCATCGATAACAGTATTTGCAATAGCACTAGCACCCCCAGCTAATGCGCTAAGAGCACCTATACCTGCTATAATAAGAGGTAAAAAACCACCTACTTTATCTTTATTTCCAAATTGAGATTTTGTAATTTTTAATCTCACCCCCTTTTTATCTTTTTTAGCTTTAGTTAACTTATTATTTTGTCGATCAGTTAAATTAAATTTGTTTTTGCCATTACCAATCTGTGTGTGTTTTAATTGAATAACTACATCACTTTTTTTTCGAAAGCTCTTACAAGCTTTTTTATTTGAGAATCATTCAAATCTAAATCCATTTAATACAAATAAAATTTATTAAAAATTAAATATTACCCATACCAAAATACCTTTTTGCTTTCATTGTATTTGTGGTGATATAAGCAGCTGCTTTTTCACCTATAGATGCATCTGGGGCTAAAAGATTACCCCATGCTTTATCTTCCAAAATTTTATCTCCAATATGTCTTGTTTTAATATCTTTATGTTTTTTATAAAAATAATCATGTTCCATTGCTGCCATATCTAGTTTATTTACTGGCTTCTTATTTTTTTCTAAATCAGTAAAAGGGCCAAGATAATTATAACCAGGCCAATGTATTTCTGGCATAAATTTACTATTTAAAAGATTATTCATAAGACCTGACCCTTCTACAAATTTTTCAGGCAAACTTGATACATAAGATATTAAATATTCAATCCCTTGTGGAGTACTAGCTAATCTTTCCAACTCAGAACTAAAAAAATGTATAATATCAATTTTTTCATTATAAAAATTATTATGGCCTGCTTTTTCTTCACTAGCGATAAAATATAATCTCTTTAATAACTCATTTAAATTATGTATATATCTATACTCAATATGATCTTCTGTATATTTCATTAAACCTCTCCCTGTTAAAATTTGTGGTTTATTATCTCTACTTTTATTTTTTGGTGATGTCGGTGTTGATGGTTTAATCTTTTGCCAAATTGGTTTAATCATCTCATTATATTTAGGAGATGTACTTGATTTAGGTCTAGGTATAGTTTTGGTACTATCATTATCTTGATATATTGAATCTGTTTCAATTAATATTTTTTCATAATTTTCAAAATCTTCTGTTGTGTAAAAGCCTGGTTTTGTAACTTCTTTATGAGTTAATAATCTCCACATACCTGGGGTCATGGTATGCTTTTTTCCATTTATAATTATATCATCTAAATCAAAAATTATTGGACATTTTCCGATCATATGTTGTTCAGTATCATCATTATAATATATTCCAAAACTATTAGTTTTTTCTAAAGTAGGTAAATATTTCTGTGCATTTTCACCTAATATTATTACATCTTTAGGTAAAGGAGACTGTGGTGTTACTTTTATTGGAGAATGTTTAGGTGTATTCATATCTTCCATTAGTCTTAATAATTCTGGATTACGTGGTTTATAAGGAGTTGTGTAAGTAGGTATTATCGCTTTTCGAATATCTTCATCAGTTATAATATTTATTTCTTTAACTTCATTAACTGCATTTACAATATTTTTTAATTCATTTGTTACAGGTCCAAATGATTTCTCTTTTTCTTCTTCAATATATATGTTTCTTAAAGCTGCATCTTCTTCAGGTCATCTTTAAGTTTAATTATTTCATCTGCTTCCTTAACTGATGTTACACCTTTTCCTATTTCCACTTTTTTCATTGCAGATCCACCTCTTTTTCTATCTTTTTCTACCTTTTTCACTCCTTTTAAAAAAATATTTCTCATTTCCTTCATATTCATTTAATATGAAAACATTTTTAATAAACAAATTTATATCATTATTTAGATAGACGTTGACGCTTAACGTTGGCGTTATGCGTTGACGTTTATACGTTGACGTTGACACGTTAACGTTGATTGCTTGCTTTTTTGCAAGCAGGTCTTGCGAATACGTTATGCGTTGACGCTATGAGTTGACGTTTACGTTGGTGATTTGCGTTTATGGTTATCTGAATTTATGTTGTTGAATTTATTATAAATTTGTTTATCTATTAAATTAATCGATATAAAACCAAACTTATTTTTCCAACAAATTGAACATAAAGATTTAAATTTATCAAAAGTTAAAAAATTACTTATCTTATCTTTCCATATTTTCCTAATATAAAAATCCGACTCCTCAAATAAAACTAAAAAATTACAATTTTGTCTAATTGATCTTGCCTCTAATAAGGTATAATTCTGGCCAATATAAATACATGAAATATTTTTGGATCTGGATCTTACAAAATAATCTTTCATTCTTTCCTGTTTTTCTAAAATGTAATCATCAAAAACAACTAAACTATTTGGTTTACAATCATCAACAGATATTATCTCTTCATTGGTTATATATACCTCTTTATGTACCTCATTTCTCAAATTTGCAAATATTTCTTTCATACCTTCATAAATTGGCTGCTCTATATTTTTTGTAAAAATATAAAGATTATCAAAAGGAACCCAATAATTAACAATAATATTAAATAATAAATTAGTTTTTCCTGATCCAGAAGAACCTATAATCAAACAACGCATAGGTCTTGGAAAAATTGAATTTGATATATCATTATCTTTAACTAAATTAAATACCTTAATTTCATAATTATTATCCATTTAATATAGAAAATTAATATAAGCTTAAAAATTAAAATTCATATTAAATTTTTTTCTTATTAAATATATATAAATATAAAAATGTCTGAATTAAAAATGTCTGATTCAATTGATTCAGTAGACTTAAAAGTTCGATTAAATAAATATGTGTTAAATACTCCATAAGAGGTGCTCGGATATGGTTGGGTCTTTTCCTCCCACCCCTCCCGGATTTGTATATGTAGTTTGTATTTGTGCAGTGCGGCAGTTGGTTGGAGACCTGAGTTGGAGAACGTTCTCGACCGGGTTGTCCTGAGGCCAGACCGTTACCGTTATTATTTACAGTTAAAATAAAGTGTGTTTAAGAGTTTACTATAACCAAAAGTGTTTATTAATTATACCCACTGTTAGCTGCTGAGAGTAGTTAACAGTAAGTCAGAAGTGGGATAGCAATATCTTGAGGATATTTACTCCATCACAAAGTGGACTACGAGCGGAGCCGTGTACGGCTGAAGGAAGAGAGCAGACGTCACGTCACGGAACGACGGAACCTCACGTCGCGCTTACTCACCAGCAACATTTAAACAGTGCGAGAAAAGAGCAACGCGTCGGCCCTGGGCTGTAAAAAGAGGTACCCGAGTTCAAATTCATACTCAATTACGTTCCGGAGAAACAACGTGGTTTTGGGTAACAAGTGGAGAGGCTAGTGGGACGATTGTCGTTTGGGACGAGGTTGGTAGCACTGGAAAGAGTAACCGTCGGAAGACGCCACTCACCGTGGTTACGGCCGTGATAACGATTTGTTGTTCTCACTGATAGTGATAACAGTTTTTTTTACATAATATTGTTGTGTTCCGGCGATAAATAAGTTACGAATTAAGTAAGATGAGTCCCACACCACCCGTAGCACCGACTTATAACGAGTTACATAAACTGGTGAGCGACCTCCAGGAAAAGGTGGAACAGCTGCTAAAGGAGTCCGCAGCAGGGCGCGTTACCGACCAAAACGTGTCGGCTGGAGCTATTGTCAACAATGCATCGCGATCGGACACGTACGATTACAGAGTACTTCCGGATCTGAACAAGGCGATTAAAACCTTCGATGGGTGTGAGTCAGCCTACGAGGCGGACGACTGGCTCAAGACAGTAGAAGGCATGGCGGAACTGAACTGTTGGCCATATGCCCTTCGTATGCAATTTGTCCGGTCCTACGTCGTCGGTGCGGCGCGAAATTGGTTCATCGGTCGTGACTTCGAAAATTGGGACGAGTTCACAAAGAAATTCCGAAGTACGTTTGTTAGACAACTGCGAATGGCGGACAGGTGGGAAGCCATGCAGAAACGGCGACAAGCTCAAGACGAACATATCATGGCGTATCTACAAGAAAAGTCGAGATTGTGTCGTGCGTTGGCATTGACGTTCGGTGAGAGTCGCGACTATATTATACAAGGTATTTATTCGAAAGAATTAGCTATGTACGTGTTAGGTAGAAATCACGACAATGAGGACGCGTTGTTAGGGGATTTGTTGGATTGGACAAGGATGAATGCTATTCGGACCGAGATTAGGACCGAATGCAAGCAAGAAAAGGGGCATTCTACTGCGAAGACCAATATTAAAAGCGGTCCAAGGCGCGCGGAAGCATCAACTACCTCGAAACCAAAGTGGGGTTCGAAATTCGAAAAGACTGAACAAGTTGGGAAAACTGCTAGTGAAGCAGGCGAAGAAGACAAGTCTTCTTGTTGGGTGTGCCGTAAGGTCGGTCACTGGACGAGAGACTGTCCGCTGAAGAAGGCTAGGAAGTGTTTCGCCTGTGGTGCCGAGGGGCATTTTGCTCGTGACTGTAAGTCACAACAAACGGTAAACAATGTGACAATGTCTAAGGAGCCTGAAGAAAATCCATATATAAAGTACGGTTCCATACAAGGCGTTGACATGACTGTGCTGTTAGATACGGGGAGTTACTACACGCTCCTAAGGTCAAGTGTGGCGGAGCGTTGTAACCTAAAGTTGAGAGAAACCAAAAAAATGCCGTTTGGGTTAGGAAGTGTATCCGTACCATCGGTAAGTGCTGTGGGAAAAGCCGATGTCATGGTGACTGTGGATGGTGTCGAGGCTGGACCAATCAGAGTTCTGGTAGTAGCGGACAGTGTACAGCGTTATGATATGATAGTGGGTCACAACTGGCTTGATTTGGACACCGTGACGTATAAAAAGGAAGGTGGTAAATTTACGTTGTGTGAGACACAGGACGAGATGAGTTGGCGTGATGTGTCAGTCGTGACTTGGGCGGACAAACTAGACACGTTAGCAGTTTTGACGGCGTCCCCTGAACCTAAGCGGAGACCACTTGTAATAGAAGATTTCAAGCACGTGAACGCCGAAGTGACTGATGAAGACAGGACTCAGCTCCTTGAGCTGATCAACAGATTCCGCAGTTGTTTTGCATTGGGAATTGAAGAACTAGGGTGTACAAAAATGTCAGTAATGGAGATCAATGAAATGGAAGGTAGCGAACCAGTTACCTGCAGACCATACAAGACTACAGCCGCAGACCGCGAAGCGATAGCAGAAATTATCGGTGAGTGGAAACAGCACGGGGTGGTAGTGGAAACCGACTCACCCTATGCCAGTCCGGTGATTCTGGTGAAGCAGGGCGGCAAAAATAGGTTGTGTGTAGATTACCGAAAGCTGAACAAACAGGTGTTAAGGCACAATTTTCCACTGCCAGACCTCCAAGAACAAGTAGAGTCACTGAGGAACGGGAACTACTTCGTACAACTAGACCTGGCGACAGGATATTTACAGGTCCCATTGTCGGAGGCAGCTCAGACAAAAACAGCATTCATCACGCCTGATGATACGGGACAATTCACCAGGATGCCTTTTGGGTTGGCCGGGGCGCCCGGAGAATTTACCAGGCTGATGCGGAAGGTGCTGGGTAACCTACGGGACAAAGTGGTAAAGAATTATTTAGACGACTGGGTCATCGACGCGGTCGACTGGTCAGACATGTTGAATAAATTAACCATGGTCTTGGAAAGACTTAAGGAAGCAAACCTTACGCTGAGACCGTCCAAATGTTTGTTTGGTGCCAGAAAGATAGAGTTTTTGGGGTTCGTGGTCGGAGAAGGAAAAATCAGTCCAGGCAAGGACAAGAGTAAGGCAATTGAAGAGTTTCCTACTCCGAAGGATGTCCATGCAATTCGAAGATTCTTAGGGCTCACGGGTTTCTTCAGGCGGTTTGTTAGAAACTATGCTACCCTAACTGAACCCCTGACCAGATTGACAAAGAAGGGAGCCGAGTTCGAGTGGGCCACATCTCAACAGGCTGTGTTCAAAGAGTTGAAAAGGATTTTTGTGGACACACCAATATTTTGTATGTTCAATCCGGAAGCAGCGGTGACGGAAGTTCATACAGATGCAAGCGCTGTGGGGCTAGGAGCCATGCTGCTGCAGAGTGCTGAGGAGGGAGCACCCCTACAAATTGTATACTGCATCAGTAAGAAGCTAGGCATGGCTGAGACTCACTATCATTCAAGCAAGCTGGAGTTGATGAGCATGGTTTGGGCAGTCGACAAGTGGAGACATTTTCTCCTAGGGATAAAGTTTTCAATTATAACAGACTGTCAGGCGTTAGTTTATTTAAGGACGCATAAAGCTACACGGCCACAAGTTACAAGGTGGTATGATGTACTACAGGAGTATAATTTTGATATATTCCATCGTCCGGGCACGAAGATGGCACATGTAGATGCTCTGTCGAGGGACCCAATCTCGGATGAAGAAGGTGAGACCCTGGATGAAGTGTTAGCAGGACGGTTGGATGTATGCATGACGTTAGAAACGGAAGACAAGGTGCGTATGGCACAACAAGTCGATGAAGAGGTGCGCCACATAGTGACCATAATGCTAAAACCAGAGAACATCCGGACGAAGGCCGAACAAGCTATAGCACAGGAATACAGTCTCAGGGGTAAGTTACTGTATAGAACGTACCGGGGAAAACAACTTTTTGTGATGCCAAAGAGCATGCGTAAGAGTATTGTAGTAGCAGCTCACGACCTGGGTGGTCACTTGTCAGTGGACAAGACCGTAAGCAAAATTACACAGGACTTTTGGTTTGTGGGACTCCGGAGATACGTGAGGTTCCACATAAGGATGTGTATGGAGTGCCTGATGACGAAGAAGCCGAGGGGTAAGCAACCAGGGGTCTTACACCCCATACCACCAGGACGGAGACCATTTGAAGTAGTCCATGGAGACCACATTGGACCTTTTGTAACTAGCACCGAAGGAAATAGGTACATATTGGTGTTAGTGGACAACTTAACTAAATTTGTATCCTTGTTTGCAGCGACAGACACTAGTACCGAAGGAGTATTGTATGCGATGGACAAATTTGTGAACAGGTACGGGTTGCCCAAGAAGTTGATCACTGACAGGGGCACTTGTTTTACGTCCAAGCGGTTTGAGAACTTCTGTGAGGTTCATGGTATCTCCCACATATTGAACTCTACGAGAAGACCTCAAGCAAATGGTCAAGTTGAGAGGATAAACAGCGTTATATTGGCCATGTTGATTTCAAAAGCAGGAGAGGAAGACCAGTGGGACACTTTGTTGTCAGAGGTGCAACGTCAGATCAACAACAGCGAATCCAAAGTGACAAGACATACTCCATTTGAATTACTACATGGATACCGACCACGATTCGAGTTGGGTAGGTTGCGTGACCTATCGACTACCGCTGAAGAATGGCTATGTCCCTCTGAACTGTGGGAAGATGCGCGAAATGAGATAGTGAAGCAAAAGGAAAGGGTTAAGACAGCCTACGACAAGCATCGTCACAACCAAACACAATATGTAGTTGGAGAAGTAGTAGTGATGGCCAGAGCACCAGTCGCTACAGGCATGTCCACTAAACTACAGGAGCGATACCGTGGACCTCTTGTCGTGACAGAAGTGTTGCCAAATGATGTGTATCGAGTCTCACAGCTGGCAGAAGATGGAGCAAGACACTATGCAACAACAGCACACGTATCACAGTTGAAGTCGTGGAAGCTCGCAGAGACCTCTGATGTCAATGAGGACATTACAGAAGAAGAAGAGCCGGAACAGATTGCTGAGGAAGCAGATGTTGGGAACACTGAACAGGACCAAGGAGAAGAAGTTGGAGTGAGGAAGTCCACCCGACTAAGGAGGAAACCGAGGAAGTTTAATGACTATGAATGAAAGTCATTAATTAATTATGTTTGTTTATATTTATGATTTATAATATTAATTAATTATGTTGTTTATATTTATGATTTATAATGTTGTTAATTAGTTTTTTTGGGGTTGATATACCATATGTAGTTAAGACTGTTAGGTTTGAAATTGTTTTATTTCTTTTGTTATTATGTATAAAATTAAGTAAGGTCCTATGAGGACATAGGATTTGTCAGGGGGGCCGAGTGTTAAATACTCCATAAGAGGTGCTCGGATATGGTTGGGTCTTTTCCTCCCACCCCTCCCGGATTTGTATATGTAGTTTGTATTTGTGCAGTGCGGCAGTTGGTTGGAGACCTGAGTTGGAGAACGTTCTCGACCGGGTTGTCCTGAGGCCAGACCGTTACCGTTATTATTTACAGTTAAAATAAAGTGTGTTTAAGAGTTTACTATAACCAAAAGTGTTTATTAATTATACCCACTGTTAGCTGCTGAGAGTAGTTAACATATGGATACAAGTATAAATTTATTAAATTATCAGAACTGGTAGCTGACAAAAGATATGAAGTTACTGCTTTTGAACTTGTTATTATTAATGGGTGGGATAAAGTATCTGTTGTATTGGATAATAAATATAAGCTCATTTTACCAGATAGATTTTTTAAGACTATTTCTGAAAATATATATGAAATGAATGATAAAGAGTGGTCTACACTTTACCTTTATTACAGGTATAAAAAAATACTTGATAATGAAGATTCATAACATCGTATAGAGTTTGAAGGTAATTCTTTTGACACTACTGTAATTAAAGTATTAAAGAAATTAAATGAAGAATATTACAAATATACAAAATTATCTGATTTAAATATCAATGAACTTTATAAAATAACAACAATTAGAAAAGTAGATACAAAATATGGTGAAAGAGTTTCTGTTGTTTTAAACAATAAGGATATGGTATTATTGCCCCAGAGGTTTGTTAATATTATTTCTGAGTTAGATATAGACAGATATGATGGTGAAATGTATATGAAATATAAGGGTAAAAAAACTCTTGATAATAGGAAAACAATCCATTTGATAGAATTTGAATAACTTAACATTATTTTTTGTTATTAAATAAAATTAATCAAAATCATAAATGGTTCTATACATTTAGAACATTATATACATAATGAAAACCAAAGTATGTCTATTGGGTTATATGCTTTGTCTTTTACCAAGCCTGGGGATTTAATTAAAATAGAAAACGACTGTCAAATAATAATTAACACTAACGTAATTGATATCAAAAGTGGTATTTATACTATTGAAAAACTAAATAAATTAATAAATCCATTAATTATCTCTTTGATTGATAAAAAAATTAAAATAGAATCTCCATGTTACTATAGTTTGGATGAAAATTTAAAAAAATATTTAGGTTTTAAGGATATAGAATTTGCAATAACAAGTACCAAAAGAATAATTTATTATCCCACTAGTGATGAATATTACATACATATTGAAAAAGATTGTGAATTTAGATTAGGTCGAAATGGCCAAATCCCACTAGGTACAATATTCATAGGTATTTATTCAATAGGCGAAATTGAAAATGTATTTAATTCATTCGGAGCTAAATTTGTGGATAATTTTCCTAAAATAAATCTTGAAATAAATAAAAATTTATTAAAAATAACTGCTTCAATTGGTCTGTGCTTTGATGAATATTTATCAAATTGTTTAGGTTTTAATTTTATAAAACATATGATCCCTATTAATAAAACATGGCCTAAAGGGAAAGAAATAGAATTAGGTGTTGAGTATACATCACCAGATATTGCTTATACAGTAATAGGAATAAAAACTCCAAAATTTTACACTCAAAGCTTCTTAAAAGACATAAAAGGCAATATTGAAACAGAAAATAACAAAACTGTAATAGAAAAGAGAAATTACACTATTGATCAATTAAATAAATTACTACCGCCAAATATAAAAATATTACAAACAAATAACTATATTACAATTAAATCTAATGTTTATTATTTATTGGATGAGAATTTAATATCCAGCTTAGGATTAGGTAATATATATAACTATAAACATATTGGCTCGGATATTATACTCGGTAATTATTTTGAAAATAAAATTATCGAAGTACATTCTAATATAATTGAAAATTCCATTTCTAACCATAAAACTGAGCAATATTTACATATAGACGATGATATTTTATGTATTATTAAATGTGATACGGGTGGCCAATATATAACTAATGACATTAAATATATTCCTCTAAATGTAATAGATTTTAAACATATTAAATTATTTATCACCGATCAAGATGGTATTGAAATAATATGTAATGATTTTGTTGCATATTTAATTCTAAAAACATAGATCTAGATAGTTCTATAACACAATGTTTTGACGCTCACCCCATACGGGCGAGCGTCAGATACTTTGTAAAATAAATTCTATATTTGACGCGTGCGTAAATATCGCACACGTCATTTAATTATATTGTGTTCTTAAATAGGCATACCTTTTTCCATTAAATTATCAATACGCTCATAGCAGAATAAATTATCTGGTCTATCTAACATGTTTAATAAAGTTATTAAAATATAAGTACTTTTGGGCGTATTTATTATATTTTTATATTTTTTAATTAACAAATTAAGAATTTTTTTCTTTTGCTTAACTATATTATCAATATTTTCAATACCTTTATTATTAATAATAATTCTTTCTTTTTTAGCCAAAGATTCCAATTGTTTATAAAGTTTACCCATTATTTAAATATAAATTTATATATTGATATTATTATTATATATTTATTATATTTAGATGTATAAAATCTATATTTAACACGTCCCCCAAAAAGGGACATGTTTTTAATTCTAAAATTTTGTTTTATAGCTATTATAAATAATCATATTTAAATGGAAACGTATTTAGAGAAAAATATGTTAGTTTATAGAAAAAGTTACAATTATTATTCAAAAGTCAGTTTTTGTTTACTAGCTTTAAAACTGTTTCTAAGTACAATTGGCCCAATTGGTTATTTTGTATTACCTTTATTAACAATGTTTTCAATATTAAACGGAATTATAGAAATTTTTGAAAAATCTTATAAGCTTAATGAAAGAATTATAGAATACAGAATTTGTTATAAATTTTATAATCAATTGATATTGCTGTATAAATCTAATAAAATAATCGAGGATGGTATATGTTTAAAAGAAGCAGATTTTAAAGAAACTATTAACTTTTTCCCTACAGAAAAATACTTAAAACAGACACAACTTAACGGCTACAAGTATACAGCATAATTAAACATTATATTAATTTAATTTCTTATAAATGGGAAATATATATTGTGTTAAATGTAAACAAAAAACAGATAATATTAATCCACATATAATTATGACTAAAAATAATTTGAAAAGAATGTCTGCAAAATGTAAAAAATGTAATTCTTTAAAAAGTTGTTTTATTAAAACATAATTTTGTATACAATGTATTCTTATATATATACCTTTAATTTAGCCGCAACTACAGTTGAGCGGGTATACATAAATATATATATATATATATATATGTAATTCATGTCTATTTTTAACATTCACCCCATACGGGTGAGTGTTAGATCCACCTTACATATAAATATATATATATATAATATATACAATTTAGCCGCAAGTGTAGTTGCGCGGGCATAATAAAATGATTTTGACAAATAATGATATATTTTTAGATTTATGGAATTTTAATATAATATGTTATATATTCATAATTATTGCATTTTTCATGTTTGTAATCAATTTGTTCAAATTTAATATCATTATTTTTTAATAAAAACGTGGTCGAATTATTCGACCGCGTTAGAATTTATGGGTTTTTGTGACGCGTCCGTAAATTACGGACGCGTTAAATATAGGAAAAAATGCATAATTTTATAAAATTTTTAAATAATAATGGGGTTTAGTGACAACATTGACACGTGTCCGAATGGGACACGTGTCAATAATAGATATAAAATGCATAATTTTATAAAATTTCTGAAATTAAATTTGAACAGATGTAATAATAATATTATATAAAAATTATACACATTTTAGCCGCAAGAATAGTTGCGCGGGTATACACACATGACACATAATATTACACACATTAGCCGCAACAACAATTGCGCGGTTATACATACATATATACATATATATATACAATTTAGCCGCAACTTCAGTTGCGTGGGTATACATACATATAAATATATATATATATATATATATATACATATACATTTTAGCCGCAAGAATAGTTGCGCGGGTATACATACATAATATTACACACATTAGCCGCAACAACAATTGCGCGGTTATACATACATATTAATATATATATATATATACAATTTAGCCGCAACTTCAGTTGCGCGGGTATACATACATATAATATATATATATATATATATACATATACATTTTAGCCGCAAGAATAGTTGCGCGGGTATACATACATATATATATACAATTTAGCCGCAACTTCAGTTGCGCGGGTATACATACATATAATATATATATATATATATATACATATACATTTTAGCCGCAAGAATAGTTGCGCGGGTATACACACATAATATTACACACATTAGCCGCAACGACAGTTGCGCGGGTATACATACATATATATATACAATTTAGCCGCAACTTCAGTTGCACAGGTATACATACATATATATATTATTGGAATTTATGGGATTTGGTGACAATAATAACACGTCCCCGAATGGGGGACGCGTTAAATATAGAATATATATACATTTTAGCCGCAAGAATAGTTGCGCGGGTATACATACATATATATATATATATTATAAAAATGAAATATATAGCGCACTCTAGCTAATTGATATTGAACTAAGACTGAATATTCTAGAAGGCATCTTTTTTACTATTATCATCAAATATTATTATGATAAAAGTAACTATGTCAGTAGTGTGGTAGCTGTTGTATTGTGTATTTGTATA